TGAAAAGCATCTTTCATCAAGTGTATGAATAGCTGGACTATGTGCCTCTAAAGACCACTCTGTGTGTGATGTGCAAATGCATGACGTAATGCAGAAAGGTGGAGACTGGGGTGGAGCTCTGAGGCAGAGTGTTCTACTACACAGACAGTGAGCCAAGGAAAAAGACAGTGGGCCTTTTCTCCTCTCATGGGTGTGTTCTCCTGTGTGTAGTCCCTCTTGTGTGCTAAGCACTAGGGATCCAAAGTCAGGAAGATGACCTGCTCTTGGGTTACAGCCGAGCCTCAGGATTTGTGTATCTACTTACCTGCAAATTGTCTGACTCACTAAAATGCACATTCATTTTAAAACCACGTAAATAAGTTTTCACAGTCATTTCTGGTAATATGCTGAGGTGGGGGAAAATATTTAATTACCTGACTAGACACAGTTGAATGAGGTAACAGATGGCCTTACTCTCTCGGTTCTTTCCTAGTTAATTTACAGCTGCGGTGTGTGTGTGTGTGTGTGTGTGTGTGTGTGTGTGTACTCACATGCTTTGCTTTGAGACTATTTTAAAAGTAAAAAGAAAGCTAATATGCGGCTCAGAGAAACATGGTTGCCAGGTAAGCACATGTGGTTATAAGTCACCTACAGGTAAGCACAGGTAGGCATGAGTCACCTGTGTTAAGTACAGGTGGGCATGAGTTGCCTACAGGTAAGCACAGGTGAGCATAATTTACCTACAGTTATGAATAGGTGGACGTGAGTCACCTGCAGGTAAGCACAGGTGGGCATGAGTCACCTGCAGGTAAGCACAGGTGGGCATGAGTCACCTGCAGGTAAGCACAGGTGGGCATGAGTCACCTGCAGGTAAGCACAGGTGGGCATGAGTCACCTGCAGGTAAGCACAGGTGGGCAAGAGTAACAGTGATGTTGGTTGTGGACTCAGTGTTCATGAGTCAGTAGTTTGGTCCTGAAGAAATGCCTACCGTGTGATAAAGGTGTGGACTGGGAGCAAGCCTGAGTCCATAGACTCATAAGAGAGGAGCTGATTGCAAAGCAAACAGGGCAGGCATGCTGGTGCACACCTTACATCACAAAGCTTGGGAAGCAGAGGTAGGTGGGCAGATCCCAGTGAGCTCAAGGCCAGTCTGGTCTACATAGAGAGTTTCTGGACTAGCTTGGGCTACATGTTGTGAGACACTATCCAAAAGCAAACAAAAGAAACAAACAAAGAACTAGAAAAGGAGATGGGCTGTGGTTGAGTGGAGGGCACTAGTTCTAGTGTCATTTCTGTGGCTGTGACAGAATACTCTGGCAAAAAGCAACTTACGAGAAAAAGGATTTATTTTAGCCCGTAATTCCTGGTTAGAGTACCATATTGAGGAGAAGTCAAGGCAAGAGTTCAGGACAGCTCAACACAGCCAAAAGCATGGAGACAATAGATGGAAGCAGACCCAGTACTTGGCTAATCTTCCCTACTCTTAAAGGTACAGAGCCCCAAACCAGGGTGTGGTGCCCTTTACTTTCAGACTGGGCCTTTCCACGTCAGTTAAGGCGACCAAGACAATCCCACATAGACATACTCATAGACTGACCCGATGTAGACAATCTTCACTGAGACTCTCTTCCCAGGTTCTTCTAAGTTGTATCAAGTCAACAATTAGAGTTTTCACAGTGCATGCATACAGTCTGAGTCCACCACAGAAGAGAACAGACTCGTGGTCTGACTTGCTGTGAGGCTAAAAGTCAAAGAAGTCACATCGCGTGCCCATGAGGAAATGCTCAACATTTTTAGCTACTATTTTATTTATCACACTCCCTTCAAAGACACACTCCCAGTGACCTCATTCCTCCCTCTGCCTCAGGGTTTGACTACCTCCTAATAACGCCAGTGTCAACACATGAGCCTTCGAGAGACAGTCCAGATCCAAATAGAACCTAAGTCATTCAGTCAAGAGACCAAAGTCTAAAGCTGGGACTAGGAAGGATGGAAGAGCTATGAAAGATGAGTACCAGGTAGGTCTGACTGGATTGGCATTTGATGAGGAGAATGCTAGGTACCGGATGGCTCAGGGAGAAAGGAATACAGAAGAGCGGAGTTGAGCAGAGCAGACTGGAAGGAGAAACCCCTTCAGTTTGGGAACTATGAAATCTGAGTACCTTCTGATGGCGATACGTGAGAGCCATTGCATGTATGCCTGAGGTCCAGGAGAGGGAACTTTCCCGTGTGTACTGACCGCTATTGACAAGCTGAGGTGTCCAGGATGGGAGCACCCAGGAAACCTAGAATAGAGATGCTCAGAAGTGGGACAAGAAATGTTGTTTATTTGGTTCTATTCACTGGGGACCTTTATGCACCATGCACATACTATGTGATACGCTATGAATTAGAGAAAGTTGAACCAGCTAGGGCTGGGGGGTGAAGGAAGAATAAAAAACACGAAAATAGAAAACAGAAAGACTGCTCGCTAGAATATAGGAAAATATTTCACTAGAATAGAGGAAATCCTAAAATGGATACATACATAAATGAAAGAAAGCAAGAGTTAATTGGTAAGTTGTAATTAAATCACAAATGCTTTGAAAACCAAAATATGAAGTCAGACAATGGGAGTACATTTTTTTCTTAGAATGATAAAACAACTAATCCTTGAAGCAAATATCTCATAGTTCTGGGGTTCAATGGCAGGGGCAGAGCATCAACTCAAGCCTGGTAGGATCTCTCAGAAGATAGCAAGAGTACAAGTCAGTGGGCCATCACATTGCCAATCAGTATGCCAGAGAGCCATTCAAAGTTCAGCCTCGCTCTTGTGATGAAGAACAGGAGTTCAAGGCACCCACCATGGTCACCACAGTCCCTTCCAGGTGACCTCAGCATATCTCACCAGACCTATACTCATCAAGGTCTCACAGTCGCTTACTACTGCCACCTTAGGGACTAACCTCCCAAGATATGAACCCAAAATAATACTCAAACCACAGCAAGGGGCTTCGTTCATTCATTCATTCATTCATTCATTCTTGATGCTGGGGATCGAAGCCAGAGCCTGACACATGCTAACCAGGCATGAGCTAACTTTGATTCTGTGGATCAGACCCTGAGCTTTGCACTTGCTAAGCACATTCTCTTCCCCTGTTCTACATCCAGAGCCCCTGAAGATTCTCGAAGAAAGAAGTCTTACAGGCAGAGTTAGAATAGAAGGAAGGTCCCTCTGGCAGATGCTATTGCCGGCACTGCTGCAGCTAATAGAATTTCATAATAGAATCAGGGATGAAAGTTAAGGCAGGCAGAACTGCTGGGACATGGTGGATGGGGACACAGGAGCAGTATGTGAACAAGTACTGGGTTTGAGGTCAGTGGCTAGAGGCAAAAACAGCACTTACTGAATGGCTCTAAAGTTAGCAGACCCTTGAGATCGATAACACCTGCCACCTGGATAAGTGCCCCTTCTGGGCCTAGCTAGCATCAGCTTGAGACAGTGAAGAAGGTTGGAAATAGGAAAGGAAGAGGGATGGAAAAGAGTCAGAGAAGGCCTCCTTTGCTGAAGTCCTGAGGACTAGCTAGTCCCCTGTGGACCACAGTGCAGTCCCAAGATCATGCTAAGAACACACCTTAAAGTTCTCACCCCAAACTGTCCATGCAGCACTTGGTGCTGGAAAAGTTTTCAAGACCTCCCACCTACTGAGGACTTGGTCCCACAGCCTGTCCTGGCTCTGAGATGTGCAGGCTCCCTGGTTCAGGAGCTAAAAGTTTCAAGATGACAGCATGCTTGAACCAAGCAAGGGCTCTTTGGAAGCATGTAGCCCTGTGTGACCTCACAGGGTGTGCACCAAGGGGGTCTGCTCTGCCTATGTCTCTAGAGACCTATCCTTGCTGCACCGTGACTGGGGGTGCACACACACCTGGCATAAGCTTCACCCCTCTGGTACTCCTCCACACTCTCTGCTTGACAGTTTCAAACCTGTTCTCATTGCTCTCCCACGCATGCATACTCGTCTCTAGGGAAGGGTCCTTATTCTGTCTCACTGGTGAAATCACTCCAGATCTGTTCTAGCTGTCTCTTTTCAGCCTTCAGAGAGATGACATTGACCTTCTGGTGATATTTTATGCCTATCACCTACTTGCAGGAGTCACGAGATGGGTACAGTGGTCTTCCTGGCGCCACCATTGGTTCCAGTGCTAGAGGGCATCCAAGGCGTGGCTAACAGCTGAGACCCTTCCTGCAGAGGGTCTAGTCGAGAGACATTGAGAACTCACTGCTCCCCTCCCTATGGTAGAATCCCACTGGACATTAGCAACGGGACTGTTTTGATGATGCTTTTATCTCTGTAAAGAGGCTGGAACCCAAAGATTTAAATGACTCCTCAAGATTACAAAGCTAGACTGAGAGATCCTGAGAACGGAGAAATCACTGTCCTGACTGGTGTACTCTCTGATGACCCCACCAAGCTCTTACGCATTTCCAAGCCAATGCTCGCACAGTGGCCCTAATTAAGCCAAATGGGTCACAAAACCAACCCAAAAGTCATTAATCTGGATATGGAGCAGTAAAGGTTGGATGGGGGTGTGGGCAGCAGTGAGGGGATGGGAGGAAGATAAGAGGCTTGAGGAGGGAAGATGCTCAGAACACATCATGTGCACATATACATGTAAGATGTTGTCAAGTACAAAGTCAAGAAAGGAAAAGGCAAATCCATCACCAAGGAAATAAACTAAAGAAAGCTTTCTTCCTGCTCTAAGAAGAAATGAAAGATCACAGAGCCATGACGTGGCACAATCAAAAGTAGAACTCAACCTTCCAAGGCTGTCCCCGGCAGCCTGCTGTCCCTGCGTTCCCTGTGGAGGACCCCAGGCTCCCTTGTCTCATCACCTTGTCCTCCGTGGAACACTTCATGAGCACTGTGTCAGGTGTTGTCACAGCATCCGTTCTGTTTGTACAGAGGGAACCCACCGTGATATCTGCCTTCCTCCGGAGGGAATAACTTTCCAGCTAACTTTCATTTCTTGTTCTCTTTAGAGACAATCCTGCTACCCAGTTTAACCTCAAAACTCACATGAATTCTCAAGATCTGAAGACAGCTATAGAGAAAATTACCCTGAGAGGAGGCCTTTCTAATGTAGGTATGTGACCCAGATTTGAATAATTCTTCCTTGTAACCATGGTGCACCTTGTATGTGGCTGTCTTATAATATTCTATATTGGAGGAGGTGGAAAAAAATAACCCATCAAGGAATGACACACAGCCTCTGTATCTTTCCTAATGTATTACCACGGATTCAGGTACAAAATGGTCAGAACACTCGTGACTCCGACATCCTACCCATCTGGTTCTCTGGTTGCAGCCAAATTCCTCAAGCCTAGCAGGACAGCTGTTGTGACTACTTCATGGCTGGTCTATAAGCTACCAACCAGTTAGTACTAAATTTTGTCACCAGTTCCAACCAGGAGGTCCTTTAGGGGCATCTTGTTGCCATCAACGTTGTCGTAGTGGTGACTTTGCAGAGAGATGAGTCCCGTGTTTGAAAATGAGTCTCCTATAGTGTCTGAACCTTAAGGGAGTGGGTGCCACTAGAACTCCAAAATCTAGTCCTCAGTGGGACAGCTCGAGAAGTTCCATTTTACCTGTTTACCCAGAGGAAGCTGGACAAGATGGAATGTTTCCACAGCAGCCATGCCCAGAGACTGGAAGGAAGGCCGGTTGTGCTTCCTGGAACTCCTAACCATTTAAGGCCAAAGAAGTTCAAGTTCAGGTTGCAGCCGTTTGTGTGGAGTGAACAGTGACCAGTACAAAATTCCACAAAGCGTCATAGGAGTTGCAGAGAGTCTGAATAATTAGTCCCTCCTCCCTCTCGTTATCTCTGCAGTGACCAGAACATTAGTATTCGGCAAATGCAGAATCCTTCACCTCAGTGCAATGCCAAATAACCACTAGCCAAGTCACCACATTCATGTCTGTAAATCCATATTGCCTGCGTCATAAGCATGATAGAAGGGGTTTCATATTTGTGTCAATTTAACACTTATACAAGCAAAATTTCAATGAGAAAAACCTGGCAAGGATTCAGCTCCCCTGAGGTCAGAGAGGAGTCCTAACCCAGTTGGTATACACTTTCAGAGAGTGCTGTGTTCCTACTCTGCCTCTGCAGCATGCCGGAGTTCAGTGAACGTAGTCTGTGTAACTGAGGCACATGGGAACTTAGTCTGTGGAGGAGCACAGAAAGGACTGAAGAAGCAAATGTAGCTGGAGCTTTCAAAATGACTTCTCAAGGCGTTGTGCCGAACAGGGGACAGTTAGGGCACTCTTACCTCTTGCAAGACCAGACAACCAGTTCTCAAATTCTGTCAACAAGGCCTTTTCATGAACCTACTCCATCCAGAGTGCTGCCATGAGGACAGCTCACAGCTCCAGCACCATGCCCTACACTCCCCATTCTCATTTAAAAAACAAACAAACAACAAAAACACCATCAAATCTACCAACCAATCACAGTGCAGAGAAGCCAAATACACAACAGTCTGATCAGCAGAAGTAGTGGAAACAAAGTCACAGCCCCTGCTTGGCTTTCATCTTCTAAGCCTGGATCAAACGCATCAGCTTAGGGAACTAAGATGAAGCTGGAGGTGTAAGGCACTAAGGACTATGGGTAGTGCAGCTTTCAGATCTCAGCCTCTCATTTCCAGGTAAATGGAATGTGTGCTAAGCTCTGATCCACTCCGGCCTCCATATTTAAGATTGATGGGGTCATGTGAAATCTTACAGCTTCTTACAACTTATGCACTTTGCTAAGTGTACTTAATGTTACGCTGGAGAGACTGCTGGGGACTGTGAGCCTTGAGTTCTCAGCAGCCGTGGTTTTCCATTAACAGCAGGGTCTCTGCAGCCAGTCATGTGCTCATCTGAGATGCTTCTCTAGCAGCTTTGAACGTAACCGCCTGTTGGCTTCAATTGACAGGCGAAACAGCCAGGGGAGCCAGGACGCTGCCAAACCCAGAAGAGCATTGAGTGAAACTGTGTTAGCTCTAAAGTCTAAACAAGGCAAATTGAACTGTAACTGAAATGAGAACTCATTTGGGAATCATTTAGAAACTTTGGCCTTTTACATATTCATATAGACAAAAACTCCCTTCAGGGGATGTGTGCTGGTGTTCATGTGTACAGACAGATACAGACACACACACAGACGCACGCACACACACACACACAAACACACACACACACACAACTTGGGACTGAATGATATGCTTTTCTAGACCTCACATATATATATATATGTATATATATAACAATACACACACACACACAACTTGGGACTGAATGAGATGCTTTTCTAGGCCTCTTTGGTGGCTGTGATCTGTTCTTATATTCATTCATATTACCACTATCATTTCAAGCAAATTTTCTTCTTCTTCCAGGCCGCGCCATCTCCTTTGTAACCAAGAACTTCTTTTCCAAAGCAAATGGAAACAGGGGTGGGGCTCCCAATGTGGCTGTGGTCATGGTGGACGGCTGGCCCACAGACAAAGTGGAAGAGGTGTCACGAGTTGCGAGGGAGTCGGGGATCAACATCTTCTTCGTCACTGTCGAAGGTGCTGCTGAAAGGGAGAAGCAGCATGTGGTGGAGCCCAGTTTTGCCAGCAAGGTACATTTATGGGAGTGTCCGCGGAGCCGCTCCAAGTGCAGAAGCCGCTGCACCCTGAAACATTCTTGTGACCTCAGAGCTGCTTTCTAGGGCCTTGAAATGTTCACGAAACTCATAAGCATGTAGCAGGCCCTCCCCTGGGGAACCTGGATTTGTCCTTTCAAAGTCAAACTTTATTCTCACTGCAGAGCCAGCAACTTGCAAGCAGAGGCAAGAGCAGTGTCCCCAAACTGTCACTTAAACCTCCCTGAGTTTCTCTCACAGCATCAGAGGACCCCAAACAGACAGGCAGACTTTACACATACACACACACACACACACATACACACACGTACTCTTGCATATATGTATACATATTTTATACACATGCATATATACACATGGGCTTACATATGTATATGCACACCACATACACACAGGCTTGCATAGAAAGATAGATAGATAGATAGATAGATAGATAGATAGATAGATAGATAGATAGAGATATATCCTATATACACACATACACATATGGTCTTACATATATGTATATGCACACTACACATACACACAGTGCTTGCATATATGTATACATGTTCTATACACACACACACACACACACACACACATACACACACTCACACATATGCTACAAAAGAATCCATCTGACAAACAAAACAAAGGAATTCTACATTTCCCAGATCAGAACGGTCATGCTCCACTGCCACTCCTGGAAAGTCCAAGGGCAGTGGCATCCCAGAATTATTCCTGGACACTGAAGTCACAGTTTCTTATCCAGGCCTAAACCACCCTGAGGCCTAAGATAGCACCATGTCACTGCCCGTTCCCCTTTTGAGTCTCCCCAGTCTACTCTGAAGCACCCTGCCAGTTCTCTGGGGTGCTTGATCCAAATCCTTCACCATTACCTGTTACAGTTGAGGCACCCTACAGTGAGGGCCAGCCTCCCTTCCTGGTCAGCTTTCTCTGACCTCCACATACACACTGTGTTCTAGCCAAAACATGTCCCATCCACGGTCAGCACCACCACTGTCTCCTGCTATGATTTTACACAGACTTTCTGTGGGACTCCTTCTTTCTACTCACTAGCCAGAACTCAGCTCTGTCTCAGCATTTGTCTACCTAGGCTGTGGAAAGTTTCATGAACCCCATTTAGGTGTTTATAAATCAATAAAAAAGATTTCCTAGGAAAAACTTAAGTTACTTCTTGCTTAAAGTAATTTTGTCATTATACAAATTTATTTGTGGCCATCAAGTCTGACCTTGTCTGCTCCCCAGAGAGTAGTAAGATGGAGGAGTGATAACCCACTCTTGGGACATGAGCCTAATCATGTCTAAGAACATCTAACCAACTTACTCAGGGTTATTTGCCATTCCTTTCCATTTTTTTTTTTTTCTGGAACAAGCCTGGGCTCCACAAACAAACACTCATTTGCCTAGCAGCAGGGTTGTGTGGTAGGCAGAGCTTGGAGTTTACTGGCAGATAAAGCTGGTGTTCCAGTTCTCAGGGACTCAGAGATGTCCCTTCACAGCTGGCCCTTAGTTCTGTGGTGAGGGGCTCACGTTACAGAATGAGAGTGGGAACCAAATAAGAGACTGTAGGGTCACAGAGTGTGACTCCAACACGTGTGGCTCCTCAGCGAGTCTGAATCCCTTCTAGAAGAGTACAGGGCTGCCCTGGAAACATCCCTGTTTGTGCACCAGAACAATAGCTTTATTTAGCCGTCCCCTGTGATGGTGGGTACCCACAAAGCCACAATACGGCTGGTTTCCAGCACAGATGAGTTAAGACAATGGAGGTATAAATATAAAACTAAAAGCCAACACTGCACATCTCCCTGTGAATGTGTTCATTGGACCATTTTCCACTGAGACAGCTGAGGAGGGAGGCAGGGAGTGAGTCCAGATGTTACCGGAGGGGTCTTGACCTCAGTGGTACCCAGCCAGGAAACTGGAATAGAGAAAGTGTACTCTGAAGTCTAATATCGGAAGTAGGATTCTGAAAAGCCTGTCTGGTGATGAAGGGTCTTGGTGGCAGGCTGAAGGACTTGACTTCTGATCTGGACTAGATCCTTTCTTTCTCTCTTCCAGGCAGTGTGCAGAACAAATGGCTTCTACTCCTTCAACGTGCAGAGCTGGTTCACCCTTCACAAGACCGTGCAGCCCCTGGTGAAGCGAGTCTGCGACACGGACCGCCTGGCCTGCAGCAAGACCTGTTTAAACTCTGCGGACATAGGCTTTGTCATTGATGGCTCGAGCAGCGTGGGGACAAGCAACTTCCGCACAGTCCTGCAGTTCGTGGCCAACCTCAGCAAGGAGTTTGAGATTTCAGACACCGACACACGCATCGGGGCCGTGCAGTACACCTATGAGCAGCGGCTGGAATTTGGGTTCGACAAGTATAACAGCAAACCGGACATCCTCAGTGCCATCAGGAGGGTGGGGTACTGGAGCGGAGGCACCAGCACAGGGGCTGCCATCCAGTATGCCCTCGAACAGCTCTTTAAGAAGTCCAAACCGAACAAGAGGAAGGTAATGATTCTTATCACTGACGGCAGGTCTTACGACGACGTGCGGATCCCAGCCATGGCTGCCTACCAGAAGGGTGAGCACTCCTACTATAAACGTTGGACCAGAAGCATCTCTCAAAAGGGGAGAGAACCAGTGTCCTTGGTGCACAGGGAGGATCTGCCCTTTCATGTATCCTTTCTGTCTATGACTTAAGAAAATATCCACAGGGAACCATCGGAGGGGTAGCTCATTGGTTAGAAACTCTTGCTGTTAGAGAACCTGGTTTCCATTCCCAGCACCACATGGTGACTCACAACCATGTGAAACTCCAGTTCCAGGGAGTTTTGTATCCTCTTCTGTTCTCCATGGGCACCTTACATGCATATATGCACATATTGCACATATAGACAAAACACTCATGCACATAAACAGATCTTCTTTCTCTTTTTCTTCTTCCTCCCTCCCCTTCCCTCCTCCCCTCCCCCTCCTTCTCCTTCTCCTTCTCCTTTTCCTTCTTCTTATTCATAACCACAGGGAGAGTGGTAGGGAAAAACAGCATAGGATCTCTGAGAAGACACAGAATCGAAAGGATTCCTCAAGTATCCAGAGCCTCAGGTGATGGAACAGTAACCCTTTCTTTACCACGCCGTGACCTAAAGCTCCTTCCTTATGGGCAGAAAGCAGCAGGAAAAGTTGGTTTGTCGCTTTATGAAAGATGCCAAACCTCTGGCTTTACTGGCTCAAACTGTGTTCACAATTTTTATAGAATAGTAGTGCTTTTTAAAAATGTAATATTGAACGTGAATGCTCATTTTTCTTTTGGTTTTGTTTTCTCAGGGAGCTTTTTTCTGTATGACTCAGCCATACCTCAAACACAGAATCCTCCAGCCTTAGCTTCCCATGTGCTGGGATTATAAGTACAAGCCACAATGCTTAGATGAAAAATACTATTTTTGTCAATGACTTCTTAGGGTTTCCATTGCTGTGAAGAGACACCATGACCAAGGCAACTCTTATAAAGAACAACATTTAATTGAGGCTAGCTTACAGTTTCAGAAGTTTAGTCCATTATCATCATGGTGGGAAGCATGGCAGTGTGCAGGCAGACATGGCACTGGAGGAGCTTAGAGATCTACATCTTGATCCGCAGGCAGCAGGAAAAGACTGAAACACTAGGCCTTTCTTGAGCTTCTGAGGGCCCAGTGGTATTGAATTGGGAGTCCCTGTTACTCCACGATGGCCCCATTGGCACCTATTTCTTCATTATGGCTGTAAAAGAGCCCAGGTTAAAATAAGGCCAGAAGGCTATAAACTCTTGGACAATAGCTATATTAATTTTGCTGCTGTTGCTATAGTGTGGATATCCAAAGTGTTTGTTGAATAACTAGTCACACTGTTTATTTCTAGAAACTAGAGAACTCACTGGGACTCTCTCATTTGCTTTCTTTGACACACTTCTGATTTGGGGAACCCAGAAAAAAATATTCATTGTCAGTGCCTTTGCTTGGGGGCATTTGCTTAATCCGGTCTTTGTCTCCACAGGGGTGATCACCTACGCAATAGGCATCGCATGGGCTGCTCAGGACGAGCTGGAGGTAATTGCCACTCACCCTGCCAGGGACCATTCCTTCTTTGTGGATGAGTTTGACAATCTCTACAAAGTCGTCCCCAGGATCATCCAGAATATTTGTACGGAGTTCAACTCACAGCCTCGAAACTGAGTTGGGAGCGGAGGATGGCCACTGCTGTCCTACTGATCCTTGGGACTATCCCCAGCACTGTCCCTATTTGGGGGGATGGGGTGGGCAGGGGAGGGCTCTGATAGAGCTGGGGAAAATGCATTTGGTGTTACTATTCTTTGCCATTGGTGGTGTAAATGCTTCAAAACCTGCTGGTTAAAAAGCTGGCTATCCGCTCTCAGGTTGGGTTCAAGCACTACATTGCTTTGTGTGTACTGAAGAGCCCACATTTTGACATCTGTTTTCAAATTCATATCCAGAGGAGAGTACAGCTCTTACAACAGCACAGGCAAGTACAGCTCCTATGACAGGAAAGAACTGAGCGTTTATGAGAAGTTTGTTTACATTTCTCATTAGAACTCTGTAATTATCCATACGTTTCTTTTTATTGTTTTCTTCCTTTTTCTCTTTTCTTTTTTGTCATGAGAATGTAGGAATTGCTTAAATAAATGTTTCAAAGAATCACATGGACATTTTCTAATGGTGTGATGAGAAGTCTCTACGTTTGTCGTGAGGCCATACTTTACCATTCCTTTTCTTGCAAAACAAAACAAAAACCACTACTAGATGCAGGTGTGCACTAAAGTGAAGTGGGAGGGGCCTGACTGTGCTTCCTGTCCTCACCCAAGGACACATCTATTAGCTTGTAAAATACACACGCAGTACAAGCAAAGCAGGATTCAGAGATGGACAGGGGAATGAATGCCTATAATCCCAGCTACTCGAGGCTGGGACAGGAGGAGCACAAGTTCAAGGCCTGACTAGTCAACTTAATGAGACTCTATCTCAAAATATAGAATAAACATACAAACAAAAAGAGTAGGGTGTGGCTCTGCGGTAGAGTACTTGACCAACATGCAGAAGGTGCTTGGGTTTAACCTCAGAACTTAAAAAATATTCAAAAGATTCCTAAAAATAGATGACTGTTTATTAAAGTTTTATTTTATGAAAACACGTATTGGCCTGGAGAGATGTCTCAGCCATTATGGGCACGAGGCACTCTTGCAAATGACCTGGGTTCCATTGCCAGCCCCTCTAAGGCAGCTCACAACCATCTGTAACTCCAGTGCCTGCAGTGGATTTATTGTCCTCTCTGACCTCCAAAGGTATCAGACCTACATATGGTAAACAGACATACATGCAGGCAAAATATTTGTACATATAAAATAATAGTAAATGAATAGTTTTAAAAAATATGTCGAATAATGCTCTGGTTAGAGGGAAGAAAACAATTTCCATATTAATACCTGGGCCAAATATTTACATTAATATTTGTTAATTTTGAAATTTTTATAAACTTTAAATTAAATCTTGCAAATAAATAAAGACATCACATCAGACATTGGGTCTGGTTAATTTTGGTGTGTGATGTTTTTATTTTATAATTTGAGGCTATTATCCAGCGAGCAGAACTTATGTTGTAGATATGTTGTTTAGTTTATTGTTTATATTATGTTAATTAGGTTCCAAAATTACAAGAGAATTCACACTTGTGCATGTGAGACACTTACAATTCCTGCCCACTAATAGGTTCTAATAGGTAAATAAAGCTGCCAGTGGCTAATGGTTGGAAGGGAGACAGAGGTGGGACTTTGAGGTTCGCAAGGAACACAAGGGAGAAAGCGAACAACCATTGGGGGGGGGGGGGCAAAGGGGGGGGGGGGGGGGGGGGATAGGAGGGGAGAGTTGGGGGGGTGTCCTGGCCTGAGAAGCTTCAGGAGAGAAAGCATACAACCACATAAGAATTAGGGAAGAGTGGCCCCAGGGCCCTCTACCCTGATTGGGTCTGGGGTAGCAGAGATGAAATATAGATTTTAGTAAGTAATAATTCAGGAATATCGAGAGGAGGCAACAGCAGCATGGAAGTGGCCCAGCTGTTGAGCTGCTTAGAGCATATTAAAAATAGGCTGTGCGTGTGCTTGTGTGTGCATGTATCTTTCATTCATGAATCCAAAACATTTGGGCATGCTCACTGGGGAGTTTAGAGCAGATTAACCAACTACCACTTCAACACTAAGCTTACCAAATGTCTTAACACCTATAAACAATACAGCACCAATTAAAAATACTGTGGTCTGGGCTGGGAGACGGCTCAGTGGGGAAGGTACTTGCTGTGCAAGTACAAGGACCTGAGTTTGGCTTCCCAGCAACCCTTTAAAAAAATGAACGGATAGCAACACATCTCTACCCTTAGCAATGAAGGGTAGAAACAGGCAGATCCTAGGGGCTCACTAACCTGCTGTTCTAGCAATGGCTCCGTATTCAGGAGGAGACAATCTCGATAATATAAGTTAGCAAAGCCACTGAGGAAACATTCTGATATCAATTTCTGGCTTCTAAATGTGCCTACACGACTGAGCACATAGTCCGCAGACAAATACACACAGTAAAGAATCAATTAAAAGTTATGAGCAATTTCAAGTTTTCTAACCATAAAATTTATTTTGAAGACAATTGCAAACATTTTTGCTCCCAAATTTCAAAATATGAAAACAGTGTTTACAGAGCAGTTTCCTCATGAAGTAACAGGCACGCTCTATAAGAGGCAGATTCAGCGAAGCTACACAGAAGGAGAACAGAGCAATCACTCTGCCTTTGACTAGATAATATACACAAAGCCTTGTCTTCAGTGTTGCTTTGATGTTTGTAAATATGGTTTTTTTTAAATTATATTTTGGAAGATGTTCTATATAATTACAGTTGCACTTTGTATCCAGGGAGGGTTGGTTCCAGGGCCCCACCCCTGCCGTGAGTTCCGAATCCTCGGAAGTTTAAGGCCTTTTATATAAAACAGCATAGCATTTGCATATGATTTCTGCACATCTTCTCTCTCATATATGTATCTAGATTTCCTATAATACCTAATATGATGTAAATACATATTTCATGGGGCTGAGGAGATGGCTCAGTGGGTAAGCACTTGCCACACAAGCAAGAAGACCAGAGTTCAAATCCCCAGTACTGACATAAATGCCACTCGAGTGTGGCAACAGGTTTCTTTTTTTTTTTTTTTTTTTTTTTTTTTTTTTTTTTTTTTTTTTTTTTTATAAATAATTTATTTATTTTTGAACATGAAATGCTTTTTTATAGCATGTTTCACAAGGGGAGGGGGTAAGAGGGGCCAGATGGTGGAAAAGTACAAAATCTTCTTGGCCTGTGCCTTGAAACATGTCATGGTCTATACGGTACACTGCCTTGAATTATGATCTACCTGCTGTTCTTCAGAAGATATGGTACACTGCTTGAGTTATGGTCTCCCTGCTATTCTTAAGATGATATGGTACACTGCTTTGAGTCTATCTGCAGTTGCTAAGCAGGATCTTGCAGTTGCCGAGCTTCAGAGAACATTGTGCAGGTGGGGAAAGGTAGGGGGTGAGGGTAAGGGCGAGGGTCCTGGCTTCTGGCATCTCCCCCTTCTCTGTTTAGTTAGAGAAGGCATCTTATGATCAATCCCAACTATGTGAATTTTGAATTTGGATGTCTAATTATGGGGGGTCTTAGACAAGTTCACAACCCCAAAACACTGATGTGAGACGAGTCACATCGATGGTCGAAGGTTTTAGGCTGTTGACGATGGGCAACGTCAAGGGACTCCGATGTGGGTGAAAGGAGGGTGAGGGCCCTGTCTTAGGCCATGTAGGCTGCACCCACTCCCAGCACCACGCACTCCTTTTCGGCTGCATTGGGTGGGCCCCTGGGAAGTGGACCTACAATAATCCCGTCATTGGGCTAACTCACAGCCATCCTAGTCCCTTGTAAATGTTCAATTTACCAACCATTTGTCAGTTTGGGGTGTAATATTGTCATAAAGGAAGGCTCCCCAATGTTAGCGGCCATATCAAGGGCGGCCTTGGTTTAGGAAAAAGCCAATTTTTGTTGTGGTGATCGAGAGGCCAAGCTCTCTATCGAGAGAAACGGGGGCAAAGCCAGGCATACCAGGAACCCTTCTGGAGGGCGTGGAAGTCTAGCGGTCGACCGTAGGGGGGAGGCAGGGGAGCTGGCAGCTGTGTCAGTCTCCTGCAGAGTCACTTCTGGATCCTCTTCAATTTTCGGCTGATGGTAATGAACTTCAACCGTCTTCTTGATGGCAGCATCAACCTGGTTCCGTGGATGACAGGTCGCGGGTTTTGATCTCTGTCTCGCTTAATCTTGATGTCCTGCGCACATCCTCTCAATGAGGGTCCGTCCAGAGGGGTCCGTGCCTCGAGCCCCACGTCTGGGTGCCACTTGACCCGACTGGCAGGCCCTAGTTATTCGTGGGGGCGAGGAGGACTGCAACCTGCTATTCTTCAGAAGATATGGTACACTGCTTGAGTTATGGTCTCCTTGCTATTCTTCAGATGATATGGTACACTGCTTTGAGTCTATCTGCAGTTTCCAAGCAGGATCTTGCAGTTGCCAAGCTTCAGGGAACCTTGTGCAGCTGGGAAAAGGTAGGGGGTGAGGGTAAGGGCGAGGATCCTGACTTCTGGCCCATCTGGATTAGAACTTCTAATGGCAGGCATCACGGGTGATTCATTTTTGCCTGGAAAGAAAAAAGAAGGGGATTCTCAGGGAGATTTCTCTTCCCTGGATGTAAATTATTATTCATCGTATTTATGGTTGGGCCTGGCTTTGTGAGTGTATCTATTTTTTTTCATTAATATTTATGGTAGCCGGTTAGCTGTGCCTTCTGTGGTATTGGACAGGCATATCAGTCCTCGGCTCCATAAGGGAACTGGGTCTGGGGCATTCCCTTTACGGGTATGAGGGTCCTTCCCCATATCTGTGGCAAAGTTTTGTTGGTCTTGGTGGTGCCCGAGGTCACCAACATGGTCAGCAAGAGATGGCAACAGGTTTCTAATCCCAGGACACAGGTTGTGGAGACAGGACACCTGCGACAAGCAGAATAGCTACTCTTGCTGAGTTGGTGAGTTCTAGGTCCGAATGTGAGACTCTATTTCAATGTATAAGGTATAGTACAATTAAGGAAGATATCCCGC